AAGTGAAATAAATAGGACACACATGTGTAAATACTGAATAGTTTCTCTAGTGTGAGAAACTGAAAGTGTAAATAAGGATCAAAAGGATTAATAGTGAATAATTGGTACTGTGAAATAGGAAAAGGTCCAAAGGGGTAGGGGAAGTGGGAGGGGAATGGGAAAGGAAAATAAAACGAAGTCTGTGTAAATAGGGAAAGGTGGAGGGGGTGAAGGGCACGCAGGTAATGGGGAAAAAAATAAAAACCAAGATACATCATGTACAGGTACAAGCACCCAATGATAAATGTAAACATATTGTATACTTAAACATACCAATAAAAGAATTTAAGGATAAAACCCCTGAAGTAGACATCAAACATCTTTAGTTTTGCCTCTCATTATTCGTTTCCCATTGCTCACTAACTTTCCAGAGGATATGGTTTTGTGTAGGTCACCTTGATCTTCAACTCCAGGAAGAACACAACCCACTGCTTCCAATGTGAGCATTATGTCTCCTTGGCTACCCATTACTGGTTCAAGAATATGAAAGTAACCCAAGTCGGGTCACTGAGATTTAATACCAGGGTTTTGATTGTAACTGATAAGATTATTTGTTTTCTTTTAGGGTGAATTAAAAGATGGCGTGGAAGTCTGGCAGGCATCTTGACAGAACTACTCTTGAAGATGGGACCTACACAAGGGAAAAGGGAGTTCAGAAGTAGAATGAGTAAAGGAGAATTATATTAGTTGAGTGTCTGAATCCACTGGTGTCTGAAGCATATTCTTTATTAGACCCTCTGCTTGGGTAGGTGTTTTTTCACTTGTAACTACAGTTCTTACAAAAATATGTGTCTATATGATAGGAATAGTTCATCCCTCTCTCAACTGTATGTGACAATGATCCAAAAAAGGATGGCAGGTTAGAGTGTACTAGAGCATTCCACATGGAGACACAAAAGTAGAAAGCCATACATTGTGGAGACCTTGCTCTCTATGAGGCATTAACTGTGTGAGAATGTGTATTGACATGGGCTTTATCACATCTTTTTGTTATTATTTTATATTTGTTTACTCTTAGGCTTCATTAAAATGAGAATTCCCTATCTCTTTATTCTTAAGGTTCAATATTGTATCTGGGACAAATTAGATACAAAATAAATGTTACAACAAACAATGAATGAATATTCCTTATTAAAAGTATTGCCTAACATGGTGCAAAAGCAGAAGTATAGATAAATCCCTTTACTTCAATCAGTTTTCATAGCACAGGCCATTGATTTCTCAAAAGCACATTAATAAAGTATGGTATTAAAAAACTTTCCAAATGCCAGCTGACAAATGAATGAGATAAATATGTATAAGGGAGTAAGTTCTAGGCAGAGGGAATAGATTGGATACAGAAAAAAAAATAGAAAAGGATGGGCAAATCCAGAGGCATATGTTTCATGTTCTAGAATTACCCACTATAGATTTTAATCAGCATTGTATTTTTCCTTGTTTTAAGATTTAAAAGTATCTTTTTAATAATAATAACTGTGAAGAATCTGAGATTTCAAATAACTCATAAACTAACAAAGTATCTTGCCACTGTTTCATGGATGCTGGCAGAACACATAAATTCTGGGTTGGAGATAAGGGACTTTAATCACTCATAAACATTAAGCAATAAAGAACATCATACCAAAACCAAAATCCATACCCAAAATCTCATGGGTAGGAATAACACAGATGTGGCAGGTAGCTGCCTGTAAATGTAGTGGCTTGTGTTACAGGAGAAGAACCCTGAGGGTGGGGAACCGCAATTTTTCTTAATGGACAGTAACTGGCTGTCCTTTGCTTCACAAGAAGATATTATTTTTTATTGCACTGGGCAGTTAACATGGCTGCCCTGTGCTTTGTAGAGAAGGATTATCTCTATCTTTTAAAGCTTTTAACCATTTAAAAATGCTTCAGAAGATACTCAGGAACATAGGGCAGCTAGAGCCTTTTTGAAAGGACATGTAAATCCAGGGCTCAGTGGATGAACCACTGAATCTTATAAGAAGTTCAGGGAAAATATAATGCCAGTACTCCTCTAACTCTCTAATGAAAGTGATAGAGAAGTACTCCCTAAGCAATTTCTGGAAGCTAGTGTTAACCTGATGCTAAAACCAGATGAGGACCCAACCAAAAAAGAGAACTATAGGCAATGTCTTTAGTGAACATTGTTACAACAACCCTCAATAAAATATAGTCAAACAAAATGCAACAAATCACTAAAAAGATCATATGCCACAACAAAGTAGGCTTCATCCCAGGGAAGCAAGGGTGATTCAACATACATAAATCAATAAATATCAAATAAACAGAAGCAAGGACAAAAATCACATGGTCATTTAAATAGATGCAGAAAAGCCTTTGACAAAATCCAGCTTGTATGCATGATTAAAAAAAAAACTGAAGAAAACAGGTACAGAGGGACCTTATCTTCAACTGGTAAAAGCCGCTGACGACAAGGCATGGTAGCATAAGCCTGTAATCCCAGCACTCTGGAAGGCTGAGGCAGAAGGATCATCATGAGTCTGAGGGAAGCCTGAGCTATATTGTGAGTTCAAGTCCAGCCTGGACTACAAAGCAAAACCTTGTCTCAACAAACAAAAACAACGAAAAAAGCCATTCATGAAAAACCTACTGCCAAAATCATATTAAAATGGCTAAAGCTCCAAGTTTTGCCCTTAAAACCAAGAAGACAAGGATGTCCACTATTATCACTACTGTTCCATGTATAATTGAAACATTAGCCAGAGTAATCAAACAAGAAAAAGAAATAAAAGGGATACGTATAGGAAAGGAAGTCAAGTTATCATTATTTGTACATGACATGATCCTCTATGTAGAAGACCCAAAAAATTCCAATAAAAGACTTGTAAAATTATTTTAAAATTTCAGCAATTTTCTAGGATATATACAATAGTGTTCTCATATAACAATAATGTACTCATGGAGAAAGAAATTATGTAATCAACATCATTCAGAATAGCATCAAGAAAAATTAAATACTTAGAAATTAACCTAACCAGGAAAGTAAAAGACCATTACAGTGAAATCTACAGTGCTTTAAAAATGGAGATTTAAAAAATGGAAAGGTATCTCCTGCTCCTGAATAGGCAGAATCAATATTGTCAAAATGGCTATACTACTGAAAGTTATATAGAGATTTAATGCAATCCCAATAAAAATATCAACAGCATTCCTCACAGAACTGGAGAAAATTTGAATATTCATATGGAAGCAGAAAAGAACCAGAATAGCAAAAGCAGTCCTGAGCAACAAGAGCAAAACAGGAAGCATCACAATTCTGGACTTCATGTTATATTACAAAGCTATAGTAATAAAAGCAGCATGTTAGTGGCACAAAAACAGATATACAGATGAATGGAACAGAATAGAGGATTCAGAAGTAACCCCAGGTATATTCAGCAATCTGATCTTTGACAAAGGAGACAAAAACACACACTGAAGGAAAGACAGCCTCTTTAATAGTGTTGGGAAAACTGGCTATCCATAACCAGAAGATTGTATCTAGACCTGTCTCTCTCACCATGTTCTAAACTATAGTGAAAATGAATCAAAGACCTAAATGTTAGAACAGAAACACTTAACCTGTTGGAAGATAAAACTTCTGGAGACCTAATTGTAGGCAAGGAGTTTCTGTCAAGAAACTAATTTATAAAATAAATAACATCAAGAAACAACAAATGGGATTATACCAAATTTAAAAGCTCCTGCACAGCAAAGCAAACAACCAACAAAGTGAAGAGACAATCGCCCCACCAGCACACAGGAGGTGAGCAGCTCCCAGCACACAAGAGGAGGCCTCGGGGCTGCCATACCACCCCTGCCAGCACATAGGAGGTGAGCCGCTCCCAGCGCACAAGAGGAGGCTTCCGGGCCACTGTACCACCCCCGCCAGCACACAGGCGGTGAGCCACATGGGTGTCAGCAGCACTCCCTCCATCAAAATGAGAGGACATGTAAACAAGTCTCAAAACCAAACTTCCAGATCACCTACATTAACCCCAAACAGAAATGAGATGGAACACTCTGACACTCAATCACCTGGACTCCCTGAACTGGCAACAAAAGAAGATCTGGAAAAAAATGAAATCAGAAATAATTTCTCAGATAACAGCAGAGATTGTGCTTATAGTGCAAGAGATGATTAATAAATCTAGAGAGGACACAGATAAAAAAGTAGAGGATCTGAGGAACATGATGGAATCCCAACATAGGAAACAAATGGAATCCATAAAGCAGATGCAAACAGATTTCCAGGAGATTAAAAACTCCACTGAAAGTCTACACAGCAGAATGAGCCAATGAGAGGACAGTGTTTCAGATATAGAAGATAAGATTGCAATTAGTGACCAGGAAAAGAAAAATTGCTTTAAAATTGGAAGGGATCACGAGAAATCAATCCAGCAGCGGCTAGACAATGCAAAGAAGAATAAAATAAGACTGGAGTCAATGAAGAAACAGGAGAGAGTGCAGATGATGTAAAAAAATTGTTCACAGAAGTGATAGCAGAAAACTTCCAAAGCAGGGGAAAAGAACATGACATACAGGTAAGTGAGGCATATAGGACTCCAACTAGTCTTGATCAAAATAGTCTACACATAATTTAGAGAGGAACCACTGCCACTACTGTTTAAACTCTTCAATGAAATTGAAAGGGAAGAAATACTCCCAAATTCATTCCTGGAAGCAAGCATCATCTTGATCCCTAAAGCAGAGAAAGACCCAACCGCAAAGGAGAACTATAGGCCAATCTCACTAATGAACATAGATGCAAAAATCCTTAATAAGATCCTAGCAAATAGAGTGCAGAAGATCATCAAGAAGATCATACACCCTGATCAAGTGGGATTCATCCTAGGGATGCAGGGATGGCTCAACATATGCAAATCAATCAATGTAATACACTATATCAATAGAGCCAAGGACAAAAACCATATGATTATCTCCATAGATGCAGAAAAAG